CAAAAGATAAGCACCTAAATTTACTATTGTTGCCCTTGGAACTCTCCAAGGCCTTTTCATTCTTTGGGTAAAGCCTCATTTGAGAATTCTGTTTCTTTTTTTTTTTTTTTTTTCTTTGCCAATCAGTTTGAGCTTATATAGTTGCTCTGGTTAGCCTTGAACTCATGACTTTGCCTTCGCAAGCGCCACGACCTCCGGCAGGAGCCACTTTGGACCCCGAGAATTCTGTTTCTTAATAAGCAATGTTCATGCCCCTAAGTGAGACGGAAAAGAATTAGTCTTTCTGGGGACTACGGGTAGGTCTTAGCCCACTTCCTTCCTACGAAATTTTAGCTGCTGCTGTCATTTGCAGCAACTTCATCTACCTGAGCTGACATCTTGTCTCCTTTTGTCAAACCAAAGCCTGAATTTTGGGAATTCCTGTAAGGCAGGAATTGGACTTTAGCACAAATGGTGAAAGACATAAAACATGTTTTGAACAGAGAGTTGCATAAAGAATTCTTATAATAATACTGACAGCTGACATTTGTGTTGCCTTAAGATTTACTGAGCACATTTGCATAGACTTTCACTACCTCCCTCCCTGTGAGGTGGACAAGATTCTGTGCTTTAAACATGAGGGAAATGAACCTTGAGCAGGTCACTGGTAATCATGGGACTTTATATGCTGAAAGGAAATTTGGGGATCCCCTAGTCCAAACCTTTTATTTAACAAATGGAGAAACAGACCCAGAGAAGTTAAGTGAGTGGCCTAGAGTCACACAGCTAAGTTAGTAGCTGAGCCAGAAATGCATTTGAGATCTCACTGCCCAGCCCTGTAGGGAACGTGTAGACTAGGAATCCAGAGTCAAAGCACAGAATCTGGACTTTCCCTCATACATCTTGAGCCTCTTGAATGAAAGTTAAATTCCTGAACCCTAGAGGCTCCTGGTGTAAGATGAATCCATCTGAGGGGCTGAAAGTGGGGAAAAGGGAAAAGGATAGTGAGGATTGTACAATGTTTAGAAGCTATTCAAGAGGCATTTCTAGAATGTCTTTCCTGCGGTAAAAAGCATAGAGTAATGTGAAGCGTAGTTCAAAAAACAGATGCAATATTTTACTATAGTATGTACCAAGAAAAGCTGGTTTTATTTCCTCAATTCAAGTTTCGAAAGATTTTCTTAGTACATTTGTCTTTGTGGGGTTTTCCCCCATCAAATCACACCGACTACTTTAGAGACATAGAAAAAAGCTCAATTAACATTGAGGAACTCCAGCAAGAAATCTTCCCCCCACCATACCCTCCCCCTCCAAAAAAATAAACATATTTTACCACACCTCCTATACCTGGCCTAAGTGCTAAGCCTTTGAAAACTCCAGCTCATTAGACTTTTGCAATCACAGACCATTGAACCCGATGCTTTCCAGCGTTTATTATAACTGCCACACCCTGCATAATTGTGTTGAGTCAGGGTAGAGAAGTGCTCCTCCAATTGTATCTCTGGGGGTTTTATTTGCATTCTTCTGGAACACTGGGTCCTGGGCTAGGCTTCACATGTCTCAGAATTAATCCTCTTTTCTCCAGCTGCCCTGAGTGCACATAGCTGCCATCACGCCCTCCTCCCCTCTGTGTCTGCAGTGTCGTCTTGCTTCCCAGACAAGGTGGTAGAGCCCAGGGAGCCTGGCATAGAAATGAGAAACTTTTCATTCTGGTAAATAAATGAAATGAATGATCTTGGGTTGTGATTAAGACAGCCAGATGTACAAGGAAGCACAAACAGAGAAGGGCAGGGGTAAAGCAGGGTTGGGGGTTGTGGGTGGCTCAAGAGACTAATGCTGGGTAGAAGTTAATTAATGGAACTAATCGAACAGCTATTTATTTTGAGCAAAAATAAGTAAATAAAAGGAGTGGCAAGAGGAGAACAAGGGAGACCCAAGAAAGATGTTGCTTTTTATTATTAAATGTTTATGATAAAAATGAAGCTAGCCCCGTGGAAAGTCAGAGAAAAGAAGAAAGTCCCAGGAGATGACCTAGTGAAGACAACTTGCTCAGATAACAAATGAGCAAAGCAAGGCCCAGGGAGAAGTGATGTGGCTCCCGGCAAGCCACCGACAGAGCCGCAGGACCTCATTCCACTGCCAACAGTGGCCTTCCTTTTTCCATATGGCTCTCTGCATGTGTCTTGTCCTTCTGCCCTGTTTTTTTTTTTTTTTTTGTTTTTTTTACAAAAAGCTAGGAGAACAGTGTCCAGAAAGAAAAACTAGGACTGGCATTTGTAAACAACAGCTCCAGGAAATCCCCAAGTACTGTAATTGAAGTAACATGATTGACAGTCATTCAGTACAATTGACAAAGCCAGCATCGAAACAGGAACTAGCAAGAAACAGGCCACCCTCCAAGAACCAAGAGTTCAAAAGAAAGAAAAAAAATAACTGCTCAGGGGACAACTGAAAGTCTTACTACCGTTTCTTGTGTTACATAGGTCTATGATATGTTTTGTTTTCAGAGAGCGCTCTTTGAGGGCAGTGAATCTAGCCCAGTGATTTATTGGTTGGCTTCAGAGGGTACAAAACACCCTAAAATTTTACAGGCGTTTTATTATGAATATGCATTTGATGCCACAATGGGTTGATAAGTTTTTCCCATAAGACCCCCAAAAGAATCATGTCCCAGAAAAGACCAAGAACATCTAGAATATGTTTCTACATTTATGTTATTACATTTTATTACGTTTGAACCCATTTTCAGAGTGGACGTTTGTATGGTAAATACATCTGATAGCAATAACTAAAGCGTACCCTGAGAATGAACCTGTATGACAAATGCACCTGAATGTGTATTCTGAGCTAGGGAATCTGGGAGGGACCAACCAGGAGATTCATTCCTTGTCTGTCAGGAACATCTGAGCCCTCAAACCGTCCTTCGAAACACAGCCTGTACCAGGGCTTGAGGCCCTGAGTTTTGGGTTGAATGAAGGTTGCCAGATGGAGGTTGTTAGGGAAAGGATGCTAAGTGAAAATGATTTATAAACTGCATGCCTTTTACAAGCAATTGTGGTTCTTCTGTCCAGCCAGCCACTACTGCGCCATGTGGTTATCCTATCCAGCCCATCACCACTGGACTCTGTCTCCTGTATGTAAGCCCCAACCAAACCCCATGTCTCATTTGCTGGCTTTGGGTCTCTTCTTAGGAGTTTTGAACCTGGTGTCATCTCCACTGGAGTAGATAGGGGTTCAACACACCAGTGTTTCATCAAGAGAAACCACCAGACTTTCCTTGCCTCTGAATGTCAAACCAGGTGCAGAATCAAAAAGTAACAACAGGAAAACCAAACAAAATTGGTTTTTAAGACAGCAGTGGTCCTAAAAAGAGATGGACTGTCATCTTTGGAACACCCCACAGTCATTCCAGTCACACCTGGCACCTACTTCCCATTATGATGACATCAGTGGGCCAGAAATGTAAGCCAAACCTCCCAACATTTCCTAAAAAAAGTCATAGCCCCGTTACCCATGAGTGTATCTTTAAAAAACTCTTGAATTTATTTAAGAGAGGAAGCATTACATGAGATCTCTCAAAATATGCTCCACAGATGTTCTACCACAAAAGGGTTCTAGGATGAAGTAAGTTTAGGAAAACTGCTAGTCATCTCCCCTCTTAGAAAATCACAATAAATAATGGTGTTTTAAAGGCTCTGAGAAGTTCTGTCATAAGTAACCCATTCAATTTTCTTTAACCCTATGTTTGCTGTTCTTATCTGACCATAACACTCTTTTGTACATAGTGTCTATTAACATCTTAAGGAATACATACTGGAAAACACATTTAGTGGACCGAGATTTGGACTAGAAGGCAAGAGGTTTGGATTCCAATCCTAGTTGTGCCACTAACTGGATGAGTGCCACAACCTTGAGTAATTTGACTGTTCCAAGGGCACAGAATTTAAAAGTTTCCCAGATTCTGGGGCTGTAATCTATTCAATATGATCTGTGGGTTGGCTAAGATCTGGTCTGAGATTCTGCTTATAACCATTTTCCACAATTTTTCCAGGAGACTGCGTGGTACAATTATTTAGCTTATAAGCTACCTTCTCTTAAGAACTCTGTGGAGAGAGGAGGCAAATATTGAGGCACCAGAAGAGAATGGAACCAATGCTGTAAAGCTGGGTCAGCTTTATTCACTGTGATGAATATGTGTGGTAGGTCCATAGCCATAGACCTCAGCAAACACAAAGGCACTGACTGGTGGCCATGTGCATTTGATGGGGTTGATTTTTTGGAAACTACACAACCTCTTTGAAGCCAGCCAACTGTGATCACATAACCTTAAAGAGAACATGCCTCTTTCCAAAAAAACCAGAGTAATTACCACAGGTATTGTTACTCTGTCGGAGAACCCGTATCTTAGAGAAAAGGAGGGTTGACTGCAGCTCACCTTCAAAGGCATTTGAGTCAGTAACAGCCCTGACAGCAAGCTTTCCCAGGGAATACTAGAGGCCTGGGAATACTTTAAGTACCACCTGTAAAGCGTCTTGAGCTCTTGCACAATTATTATATGTTGTCCTAATGCGTCACCCAGAGAAGTAGCCCGGGGGTGACGCATTAAGACTACATGTGCTTTCTGCATCCTAGGCACAGGATGCTTTATAAAATTTCCACAGGCAGATCATGGGGAAGACATCTTAAAAAGCAGAGGCCGCAGGGCTGTAGGCAACAGGGCCAGAGATAAGTCAGAACTTGTTCCATGGAAGGGCTTTTCTCCAGCCACCACTGTGGCAGTACATCACGTCTTTGCATTGAGACGGGGCTACATGTTTAGGCAGGCTGTGCTGTGTGCAGTTTCCAACCTAATATAAGGAATCTTCTAAAAATAAATCTATATCATTACCCCTTTGCTCCTTGGTGCCTCGTGAAATTTAGACAGTTCAGCAAAACATACCTGTGTTTTTCCAGCTGAACGTTGCCTTGTGTTTAAAAGCCTGTGCTCAGCAAATGGAGTACTATACACCTATATAAAAGAATGAGGAAGACTGCTATATACTTTAATAGAAAGCTCTCTGAGACTGCATTAAGTACAAATCCGTGTTAATATATGCCACTTTTGGATAAGAAAGAGGGAATAAGAGTATTTATTCAGATTCATTTATATTAACATAAACACTGAAGAATACATTAAAAAAAAAACAAATGTAACTGTTTACATCTCTAAGGCAGTAGGCAGTTGGTGCATAGCAGTTGGTGTATATGGGATATACAGAGGCCAGCAGGAGATGCCAGGAGGGGAACAAGACATATACCTGCTCATATTATTGTAATTTTTGAACATATTAAAAAGCACAAAAGCCTGGGCTCTGGAATTAGCAGAACTTGGTTTGACTACTTGCTATCCTATTTCCTAGTTTTGAGCAAGTTATTTCACATTCTCTGACCCTCAGCTTCCTCACCTGTAAAATGGGGATATAGATAGTACCTGTTGAATTAGGGCTGTTGTTCAAATTAAATGAAATAATGTTTGTAAAGTACTTAGTAGGATGCTTGACATATTGCAAGTATCTGAAGATAATAACAATGCTTTAATTTCTATTGATATTATTTTTACTTATTGATGTCTAACAGATCCTTCAGACTTAGGTAAAGTAAGCTTCCTATGAGAAGTTTTCCCCAGGCCAGGGCAGAGTGAAGAGCCTCTTCCTCCATTCCGGCAGTGATATGCCTGTCTGTTATCATGCTGCTCTCCCAAGCTCAGCTCTTTGTTTTGACATCAGTTGCCCACTGGACTGTGGCCTTCTGAAAGGCAAAAACCTTGCCCCTGCATCAGGCATATTGTAGGTAGGTGGTTGTCCATAAATGTTCGGCGAAAGGCTAAAGGAACTAATAAGATTTCTATTTTTTGTACAAGAGCCTGTCTGAGGCTGTCCATGCAGTTTTGCTTCCTGTTTTAGCCTGGCAGATGCCTGCCTGTCATTTGCTAGGTCTGTGTGGAGTTGCTCAGGAAAATGAACTGCCATAAGCAGCCCTCAGCACTTGCAGCTCACACTTGAGTTTGCTGTGAATTTGACAGGAGGTGAACTGTGGCAATCTGCAGAGGCCTCCCAAGAATGGCAGGAAGCTGAAGCTCTCCAGGGAAAGCCATCCTGCTGGATCCCAGGCAGAACGTGCAGGCTGACACTCCAGCTGCCCCAGGCTGAGGCAGAATTGATGCTTCGGCATCACCCCAGGGGCCAGTCCCAATAACTCCAGAGCTGTTTCTGCCCCCCTTGAGTCTGCTTCTCTGGGGTGAGCCCTGGTTCAGAGGAAGAGCTGACAAAAATAAAACCAGAGTGACAACGTGCTGTGCAGGAAGTTGCAAGTCTGGGAGCCGGAACAGAACACAGGTACCTGGGTGACATACCACAAGAAAAGTTGCCTGAACAGCAGACCATAGAATAAAATCATGACTGTATTTGCATTTGTGGTTGTGGCTTTCTTCTTTTAGGAGTCAAGTCAACAATACCTACTGTTGTCAAGCAGATCTAAGCCCAGGGTGGACCTCTGCCACTAACAGCAGGTTGAGCTTAAACAAGAAGCCTCTCTGAGCCTCACTTTCCTTGTCTGAGAGCCATTGCGAGAATTAGAGAAAAAACATATACTAAGGGGTCAAACGTTTATAAAATAAATATGTCTTTCCTTCCTGTATTATTGAGCACTGTTGAAGATGAGGAAGAAAAGGCTTTCACAATCTTACTGTAGAGAAGCATGTACCACACACATATATACACATACCATACACCACACACATACACCCCTATACACACACACACACCGATATACATGCTAAGTTTAGAACATTTATGAAGCAATACTAGCAACAACAGAAGAATTTGACAGTTCTTCCATTGGCTGCTTCCTAACTAGAAACAGATTGTATTCCCCCCAGCTGTTTCTGGGCCAAAGTTCCTCTAAATGTGGGTCTAGTCCTGGTAATTTCGTTTCCTTTTCTCAGTTGACAGTCATGCGACACCATTGCCTGGGTGTCCTCTACAGCCCTGGCCTTTTTTCAGTTCATAAATCTGGGAACAGAAGGAATGCTTACAAAAATGTCTATGGACTCGTTTATTGAGTGACTGCTGTGTGCCTGCATACTCCTTGTCTCTGATCCTCATCACACCCAGCAAGATACTGCTATTATCCCCTCACACAGCAAATGAGGAAATTAAGGTTCAGAAAGGTCAAAAAAATTGCCCAAGGCCTCACAAGCAATAAAGGGCAGGCTTGAGATTGGACCTAAGTCATCTATTAGCCAGAGCTGTTTCAACACAAAACCCAATTCAATCCCTTAAGGGGTTCCCAGTCTGCTGCCCTAAATACTGCCTAGGCCATTTCTCTCTCAAGTTGCCACTTGGGTCCCTCTTGGCCCAAGCTCCCTCTCCTCCCCTTTTCCCTCTTGGAGCAGATTCCTGCTGGCAAAAGGCTGGCAGCCTCCACTTCCCTTGCCTCCTACCAGTGTAGGCAATGCAAACTTCTCACTGGAGAACACCATGCCCTCTGGACAAAGGCTCTGTGTGATGTTCTAGGACCTTCCCAACAGCCCTTCTGTGAAAAGACCCAGCTGGATTAGCTGTGCTGCCAGGCCTTGGATGGGCAGAGTTCATAAACAGCTTCTCTAGCCATGGGGTTCCAAATGCACCAAGCCAGGTGCTGCCTACCTCAGTGCCCAACCAGCCCCAGGCCTTGGCCAGCCAGAGCCCTGTTCTGGGAAACCAGCAGGGCAGCAGGATATTTAGGGGTTGAGGCTGTGGGTGGGCTCCTTCACAACAGAAAATGGGCTTCTGCTTTAAATCCCAGCTTCACCACCTTCTACCTGCCTGATGTTAGGAAAGTGGCTTCCAGCTAAGTGCAGGGGCTCACGTCTATAATACCAGTACTTTGGGAAGCTGAAGTGGGTGGATCATGAGGTCAGGAGTTCAAGACCAGCCTGGCCAACGTGGTGAAATCCCACCTCTACTAAAAATACAAAAATTAGCTCGGTGTGGTGGCACACACCTGTAATCCCAGCTACTCAGGAGGCTGAGGCAGGAGAATTGCTTGAACCCAGGAGCTGGATGTTGCAGTGAGCCAAGATTACACTGCTGCACTCCAGCCTGGGAGAGGGAACAAGACTAAATCTCAAAAGAAAAAACAAAGTTACCTCTGCTACCAGAACCTCAGCTCTCTCAGCTATAAATGAAACTCATAACATCTACTGTCCCTAGCCCAGCACTTGGATCTCGGTCTCCTCATCTCCTGAAATAAAAGAGTTGGACCACATGACCTTGAGGTTACTATCTGAAAAACTCTCTATGCAGGCTGGGGCGAAGGTGTCCTCCCTGCTCCTGGCACAGTGGGGAATTTAGATGTCTTGCCTTTCTCAGGATAAATTTGTCCCTGTGGGAGACTCCCTGGTTTAATTCAATAAATTTTACTGGGCACTTCACAATGCATACCATACTAAAGCTTCAACATACAAAGATAAACAAGAAGAGGCCCTGCCCTTAAGGAACTCACAGACTAGGCCAGCAGGAATGATAAGACTTAGAAAAACAAGTACTGTGCATAGTGGAAAGTGATAAGTGCACTAGGAAGGGTACAGATAAAAGACTAGGAAGATTGAGAGCAACCAGAGGGTGGTTCTGGGCCAGGAGAGAGCTAAAGATGTGGCCAGTCCATAAAGAGTCTTGAATGACAGTTTGGACTTTAAGGGCCAACTGTCGAAAGCCTTTAAAGGTTTCTGACCAGACAGTGGGCAGATCAGAGCCATGTAGGCTGGAGCCTTTTGTTAGTTTCCTACCATCTGGAGTAGCCAGACCACAGAATTTCTAAAAGGGAAAGGGCCCTTTTCCACCATTTTCACAGGGTTTTGTTCCCTGGCATAAACAGTTCAAGATTTGCATAAAATGTGCAGCTGTCAATGGCTGCCCTTTGTTCCGGCCCTGAATCTTCTGCAGCATAATGCCTACTGTCTTTCTTCTCTGTGTCCTCTCACCCAGCTGTCTCCCTGCATGAAAGACAAGAGAATGAGGCATGTGGGACAGGAGGCAGGCACCCAGCTCAGGGAAACAGTCCTGCTTCAACAGAGTCCCCTGGGACCTTTGCTGCCCTACCGCCTTACCTTGGCCCAGGTCCCAGCATTATGGAAGGGAGTTGGCCTGTTGAGGAGAGAATGTGTCAGTGAGTTGCAGTGGCTTGAGTCTCCTGAGAAGTATATGCCTGTGTTTAGGATGAGGTGTTTTGCAGCTGATTTCAATCTGGGTCAGAGTTGTGCAACCCTCAGCACAGTTGCTATCTAGAGAAGATAAGCTTAAACAATCCCTTCCAGGACCCAGCAGCAATAAACTAGGGCTCTGAATGTAAACACAGCTGTTTGCCAAGCTCTAATTTCTGGCAATGAAGGGGCCTACTGCATTAGCAGAAGGGATCCAGGTATGTCGTGGAGTTGTGTAAACCTCCCAGAGAGGCCACAGCAGACCCGCTCTTCTGAAGAAAAATCCAGGAGAGGTGCTGGTGAGCTCTGCTCCAGCCACACTACCACCACTTGGCTTATCCAGGCTGAAACTGACAGGGCCATGGATGGAGGAAGACACCCACTGCCATGTGGCCTTGACCAAGTCATCTTGTCTCATTGGCATCCATGTACCCATCCGTAAAATGGAGCTAGTGCAATAAAATCTCATCGGTGTGAAAACCAGATGAAAATCAATAGACCTGTGAATGAGCAGAAGAAATGACCGCCTGTCAGTCTATCCCCTTTACTCAGAGAAAAGCCCCTTAGAGCTCCTCCTGGAACCTATGTTTTCTTGGTTTACATGTTGAGACTACACTTGGTTTTCTGGCTTCCGAGTCTATCATAGATGACAAACAATTGATGAGCAGGAAGTTCAGCTGCTAGAGATAGGCACACTGATTGCCGATAGAAACATTAAAAGCAGAGAGAGAGGAAGGAAATGGAAAGAAAAACTGTAGGGCGGAAGCAAGATCTTCCAAAGCAATGGGAACCATTTAGTAGTAGGGCAAATGGGTTTACATGTGGCAGTATTTACAAAGCCATCTGTTTAGGAGCCTAGTATGACAATTGATAACTGACAAAGGCTTTCCGAGGGAATTTCAAATGATTGCACTCGACAAGGTAGGGCTTTACAGAACGTTATTTTAGGAAAATTTCCTTACAAATGTTTCTCATAAATAAATTTTTGGTGCTTAAGGGGGAAACTTTTCAATATCTTGACATTTCAGATATTGGAAAAGTCATACATTTTTCACGAATGCTCTGGAGGGCACAGTTATACCTGTTTTCTGCATGCCAGAGCTTGGTCCCAGAGGCAAATCAAGTAATAGAGATGTTATTGTACTGAAAATGTATAAAACACTACCCAAATTAACCACTAGGACAGTGAGGAGCAATCACTTTGGTCTTGAATTCTTCTTTTTTTATTTTAAGACAGAGTTTTGCTCGTCGTCCAGGCTGGAGTGCAGTGGTGTGATCTCGGCTCACTGCAACCTCCTCCACCTCCCAGAATCAAGCGATTTTCCTGTCTCAGCCTCCCAAGTAGTTGGGATTACAGGTATGCACCACCGCATCTAGCTAATGTTGTATTTTTAGTAGAGCTGGGGTTTCACCATGTTGTCCATGATTAGTCTCAAACTGCTGACCTCAGGTTATCCACTGCCTTGGCTTCCCAAAGTGCTGGGATTACAGGCATAAACCACTGCACCCAGCAGGTCTTGAATTATCCTTGAAGACTACTTAGAAATGATACTAATAAACATGCTTGTTGATTGAGTTGGCCTGCAATGTAAAATCATTTTGCCTTCACTTGTATTTAGAGTGTGAACTTTTCCCAACACAGATGCCACACCTATTGTGGGAGGAGCTAAAAGGGAGAAAGGGAAATAAAATATGTGACCAGAAGAAATGCTTTTGTTTAGTGAGTGGAGCTGTTCTCTTCACATCGGGGTAAACACTGTAGGCTTGTAGAGAAATGCAACTCATTGAGCTACTCTCTGGGGCTCATTGTGCCCTGGGATAAAGAGAGGCACCCAAGAAGCATGGGGCTGCCCTCAAAAAGGACAGTCTAGTCCTTTTCGGGGCCACCAAGGTCAATATGAGATATTGACTAAAAAGCAGCCCTCCTGACACTTTTTGCTTTAAATATATTTCACTACACAAATCATGATTGTTTATGTAGAAAAAGAAAATATAGATAAGATGAAAAAATTGACATCTGCAACCCATCACGTAGAAATAACCAGTATTAACATTCAAATTAAAATCAGTATTAACAAATTATAGAATTGTTTATATATGTGAGTACAATAATGGGATCATATTGACATTGACCTTTTTTACTCAAAAATGAGCCCCCCCAGTGCATTTAGAGTGATGAGAGAAGACAACCTCAGAAATACATCCTATATGCTGAGAATATCAATTCTTCATCTATTCCAAATATAAAGTTCTGAAATATTAAAGATGCAATTGTAAATATATGGAGCCATGTAAGTATTATAAGAAAACAGAGGAGAATAATTACATAACATCAGCATGGGGAGCTTGCTTATGCAAGACAGGAAACCCAGAAGCCATAAAGAAAATTGTTACAAATTCTAATATTGAAAGATTTTAAACTCCTACATGATGAAAGACAGCACAAAGTTAAAAAACTAATGGTGGACCTAGATAAAATATTTGCCACACTTAAGACATGAAAGATTAATATATCTAATGTCAAACACAGACCTCTGCACCTCAGTACCTGCTTCGGACCCTGATACCTTCCCCGGGGAGCTTCAAAACACAGTATCTTTTCTCTCTGCCAACAGATGTCCATGCTTAATGTACAAAAAGTGCCTATAAGAACAACTCCAGGGTCCAAATAGGTAAATAGGCAAGAAATACAAACAAGGAATTCATAGAAGAAAGGCAAATGGCCCATAAACATAAAAAGATGTTCTTGTTGTCAGGGAAATGCAATAATTAAAAACTTGATAGCACACAGTGCTTGCAAGGGGATCTGGAGGTCTCTCATGCACTGCTAATTCGAGTGTAGATTGGCACAACTTTGGAGGAAGGTGATTCCATAGAATCTACTAAAATGTTAAATGTGTGTGCTTTTTGACCCAGCAACCCCATGTTCAGTACTCTCTCTTACAGAAATCCTAACAGATTCATAAACCTGCACATCCACTGCAGCAAGATTCCTAGTAGAAAAACATTTGAAACAAGATAAACATCCATCCGTAGGTTGTGTTAATTATCATTTATCCATATTAGGGAATACTATACAGTCACTGAATATTATGATATTTTATCTGTGTTGACTTGAAATGATATATTGTTGAATAGAAACAAAGACGTGTCAGATCAATATGTACAGTAATATTTAGTTTGTGAAAATATGCATATGTATCTATATCTATATATATTTGTGTCAATATAAGCCTAGGAAAAATCTGGACGCATTTGAACCAAAGTATTATTAATACCTGTCTGGGAAGGGTATTGGATTGGTGAGGAAGAAGACTCTTCCCTTTACATATATTTTTAATAGGTGAAAGCATTATCTCTGTTTTGTATGTAAGTTTGCTGAGGCTTATAGAAGTTGTCATTGCTAAGGTCAAATGACGGAGCTACTGAGTAGCAGAACAGGGCTCTAGGGGAGATTCATTTGGCCCCAAAGCCCATGTTGGTTTCACATTACTAGGCTGCTGCTCTCAAGGTATGAGGTTAGCAAGAATACCTCACAGGATTCTACCTGGGATCTTAAGGACCCAGGCAGACAGGATTAAGTTTATGACTAGCCCTGGAGGCAATGCTTGGATGTTTCTGGAAGCAGAGGGAAAGGGTGAGTTGCAGGGATGTCCTGAGGAGACCCCCTCCTTCCAACCTTTTCCCCTGTTCCTGGAGGTGCTAGGCGGTGGTCACTGAGTGACCTAGATTACCTTTCGGGGATGCATTTTTTCTTCCTCTCTGTACTACTTACTCAGTGATGAGTTGTGAAAAAGATGATGTGCCTGTGGTCTTATCCACAGGTTTTCTGAGAGACAAAAGGAAATTACTGTGGACTCCCCTAAAGGGTGCAGCCATAAGAAAAGAGAAATTCCTAAAGAAATGAAACAAAGTTTGTGAAGTGCTTAGCCTCCTGGAAGACTATCCCTGCACCCTTTCTGTGCTTAGGAGTCTTTGAGCTCTTAGAGGTTAAGGCACCTCCTTAGCTACCCTAAACAGAAAATGGGAAAAAGTCCTTAGTGCAGGCAACTTTGCCCTGGGATGCCACTGTCCACCTTATTTTTCATGTGCTGGTGCTGCTTTTGGCTAACTCTCTGGCCAACTGCCAAATGAATATGACAGAGCAGCTCCATCCTGGTTGACATTCCTGGAGTTGGCTTCTTCCTTGCTGGTTTCGTGGTGCTCACCTGATCCTTCCTCCCGGAACATCTCACACAGAGCACTTCTAGGTAGACATGCCCTGGTCAGTGTGACTCACTGACCAGCTGACACACTTCAAATTCCAAAGCTGTCCGGGTTCACTTTGACTCATCATCCTATCGACATGTACCTGCAGGCTGATCAATTTCCAATGACCTGCCTCTGAGTAGTGAAGTCCCTGAAGACAGTGACCATGTCCATATGTCTGCATCGGTCACCAGTTGCACACTCAGAACGCAGTACATAGAAGACTCCTAGAAGAATCTGGTGACTGAATATAGGAAGAATCTACTTAGGCTGCCTTTTCCCTTGCCATGCACAACAGCTTAAATCATTGCAGATAATCCACTTGAGCAGGGATTGGCAGATATTTTCTGCAAGAAATCAGCTAGTAACTCCGGGCAACATAGTGAGACCTCGCTTCTACAAAATAAATTAAAAATCAGCTGGGCATGTGGCACGCACCTAAAGTCCCAGCTATTTGGGAGGCAGAGGTGGGAAAATTGCTTGAACCCAGTGCAGTAACCCTGATGCCACCGCTGCACTCCAACCTGGGCAACAGAGTGAGACACTATCTCAAAAATAAATTCTAGGTTTATCAAGGATTTGTTGAGCAAAATCGAGGCTATCATATATGTACTTAAAAAGCAGAAGAGAAAAGACATTCCTATGATATTTTTACTAGTGAAGTTCAAAATTTATCAAAAAACTCTACTCAATTATTATAACAGATCTCTTAATAAGAAAATTAAAATTCTTTTTTGAGAAATAGCACTTTCCTTAGTTGGGGTTCAAAGTGTCCTATCATTAAAATCAGTTGAAAATGTTCATCTATTAATGCTGATGGGTGAAGAGATTTTATGCATTTCATTTTTGAAAATGAAAGTTGATTTTCACGTAATTTGCATATGCCATAAAATATTCTTTTAATTAGTTTATTGATTCTTAGCTTGAGGGCAACACAAAAACAGACAGTGGGCTGAATTTGGCTTCCAGCTGTAGTTTGTCAACCCCTGCACTTCAGGATAATACAGAGTAAGATATTCTCATTCTCTCTCTCTTTCTCTCTCTCTCACCTCAATCTTCCAAGTCCTGCACTTCCTAAAATCTTGGGGTTTCCAAGACACTTTCACCCCTTTTCTTGATGCCCCTTCCTTCTCAAAGAAGGAAACACAAGGCTGAGCCTGACAACTCCAGAGAAAGGTCCTGGGGCTTCGTCATTTCTAGCTGAGCAGAGTCAGAGCTGCTGCAGGCCTTTCCTTTTCCAAGGCTGGCATTAGCTCTCTGTCAACCACACAAAAACCCCTGGGAAGGGCTTGCCTGTGCTGCTTCTCCAGCTCAAACCACAGAAGAAGGGCGGCCTCAGAGAGGCTGGGTAATGGGAAACAGTTGTGCTTGCCCACCCCTGCTCACAGAGGGAACACATTCAAATGCATAAAATCGCATTGCATCCTGAAAAACATATCCTTTTGGGAAGACAATTGACCACAGTATAGAGTTCAATGTTGGCAAAATGACATAAATAATGCACGACAAGGACCTCGCCTTTTGTAAATATAGAGAGTGCTAAGGAGATCAGATATCAATCATTCATTGACTCATCAATTTATTCAACAGATTTTTCAAGGATCTCTCATGTGCCAGGCACCATGTCAGGCCATGAGCATACAGAACACTGCAGAAAATAAGACGGTCTCTGCTGTCATGAAATTTGTAATAGTGTTCAAGAGCATTTGCTAAATAAAGCCCAGTGTTCCCTGGTACACTATAAATATTCCTTGAATTAAAGTGATTGCATGGTGAAATCATTGGGGAAAACAGGGGTTAAATAAAACAACTAGGTTACTTTATTGTGAAAACTTGCTGTGCAGATTTCCGTCAAGAGTCTTGAGAGAGAAGTATATAGAATGTAGCCTTCCCAAGCTTATTTAACTACAGCATTCTTTTGTGAGTTGCATTTTGTGGCACATGAAACATAGTTTGGAGAGCACAATTCTCAGGACCACTGGGCACACCCAAGTAGGTCGTACACTGAACAACTCTGGTGAGACCACTCTCATAGACTACCATATTCATGGTGCCCTGGAGTTGTATGACAGTGGACATGATCACTGTAACCACAGGGCAGAGCACAGACAGCACAGGGGTCATATGACTACTCAGCTTCTAGCCTCTTGCTCTTTCCCACAGAACAGCAAAGGTGCTAGTAATTTTACCCACCATTGTTTTTGCACCATCGATGTGAATGTCAACACAGTGAGAAAGGCAAATAAAATCTCAATGTGGTTATCAAAATAGTTTTGATCTCATGCAGGGATCTGCAGACCACACTTCAAGAACCATTGACTTACAGCTAGCCACCCCAGAATTAGAGTTTGTCTGTTTGATGGTACTGACAAAATCACAGGGAAGATTTTGATTGGCCCATTTGGATCATTTTCCTCATCCTGAACCAATTGCTGTGATGAGGAGGATGAGGTGCTCTGATTGATCAGGCCTGGATCATGTGAACACCTCTCTGGGGACCCATTTAAATCACAGAGAATGGGTTCCCGCAAGAAGCAGTGGTTTTCTTGCAGGAAGAAGAGGGAAGGGATATTGCACAGGCAAAAATAACTAACGTGCAATGTCGATTCAATAGGGTAAAAGAAGTTAGTGCCTAGGCTAGTGGCTGGGCCTATTCCTGGGAGAGCCCAAGGCCAGCACCAGGCAGGAGGATGGATTAAAGGTGATCAGAAGATTCTTAGGCAGGATTCCTGCCCCTGAGGGCACCAGGTTTTGCAGCCAG